ATTAAAATCTTCACCAATGACTTTCAAAACCCAGAAAACTTTTGTGGTAAAGAATCAAACCCAGAAATCAAAACAAAATCTTTACAAGCAAATATAATTATCAGCACAAAATTAGTCATTTCATGGAAGAAGACAATAAACTCTTGTTTTTACAAGTCAAAATTTTCTGCAACGCAAAAAGGTACGCCAACCACAAAGCTCTTTATGAAAAAGATGTATGGATGTGTGTGTGTATGTATACATAATGAATTGAAAGTTCAGAGCGTAGTGTAGAATAAACTATGAAACCTGTTTTCCAGAGTGTTGAACGGGATTAGGTTGGTTTGACTGCTTGAATGAATTGAGTGACGTTGTGTCAAAAATGAATCATTGAATCGTCATATTTACATCATAAAAAAATACTTTTTTTTTAAAAAAAAATAATAATTTAATTTTATCTACTGATAGATATTAATATCATTCGTAAAAATACTATGTAGTTCTAAATTTAATATATATATATAACATTTTAGTTGAGTTATTATCTACATAACATATCACGTATATGATGACGTAACATTTAATGTGACAGAATTTTAAAATATTAAAATTTATAAGCTGTTCTAATCTAATAAAAATTTGATTCACAAAATTTTTAAAATTAAATCTCTCTCTCTCTCTCTATCGTTATATTCTTATTCGCCTATCTCTCTTCCACATCCATTGGCATGAACTAGTTGTATCTCCTTTGCAATTCTCACTCTGTCTTGTTGCTACTAACTTCTTTAGACAATGTATATTAGAGAGTGAAAATGCTAAAGGTGGAAATGAGAGTAGAGGGGAAGGGTAAATTTATTAATTACAGTAGAGAGAATAGTTTACCCACATCTTGAAAAAGTACAGGTAGTTTATACTAACAGAGATGGAGGAGAGAGAGATGATTCAATTTCAAAAATTTAGGGTTAAAAAGAACTAATTCAAATTATTAAAATTTATTACATAAAAAAAGAAACATGGAATTTCCAAAAGTTAAACCAGAAAAGAATCGTTTCCATGATTGCCAAGGTAAAAATCCACCTGCCAAATTAAAGAATTAATTAATTAATTTAATTTGATTTTAGATTATCCTAATCATAAATTAGCATCAAATTAGTAATTTTTAATTTGCTAAAATTAAGAATAAGAAAATTACCACAACCAGGGCATCTGACATATTCTTCGTTGTTCATTAAAACAAGTCCTGACCCTCCACAGGTTTCACACCTTCTTTGTGCCATCTGCCATTTTCATTATCCACACCACCCATAATTATATTTTCACTAACTAATAATTATATTATATTTGAACAAATATATACTTACTATTCTTTTGCTAAATTCAATTCCTGCCACCACGAAGGGTGTAACCCCAGCTGCACAAATTTCATAACAATTTTCAACTCATCCAGTAATGGTACCAACTTTTAAGCCTATATTTTTATTTTATATAAACCATTTATTAATTCACATTTAATTTAAAATAATGTGATAATAATTTGATGTTGAATTGAATTGAATTATCCAAACATACCCACAGCTCCAACGATTATTTGCCAACTTATCTGAACCTGCGCCGGATCTGCTGCAGTCGTCGGAAGATTATCAACCGTTGCAATCCTGGTTGCCAGCCGTTGATTCCTGATCAACGAATTCCATCTCCTGTGAGATGTAACGTTAGCCGTTGATTTTGAGTGCCCGGCGAGTCTGTTCTCTGTTGAGCTCGGAATTTTGAGCGATAAAGAAGAAGAAGAGAGTAAAGCCTCCATTGAAAAATGCCACCAGATTTCTCATCCTAAATAACCCGTTTAAATCGGGTCGGGTTCGCGCCAACCACAAAATATTCTTATGGATAAGATTTCAAGAACTGTTTGGCTTCGTATAAAAACGTTGTAATAAATAGAATTTTTGTCTGAAAGCGAGTTGGCGAGGAACCAAACAGGCTTTAAACCGCAGACGACGTCGTTTGGACAAAACAAAGCAGACGCAGCGGTTCGGTTGTCGGTTGTCCGTAATCTTTAAACTCGAGTTAAACCAGGAAGATTAGTAGGTTGGATTGTGACGCTAATGGCTACAAAAGGGATCAGATATTCTGTATTAGGGTTTTTGGGTATATTCTCTCTCTCTCTTTTTCCTTCTCTGTTTTGTCGAAAAAAATGGGAGCTTTCTCTCTCTGTCCTTTAAATTCAACCCTTCGCTCTTACTCTTCTTCTCTTTCTGGTCGAGTTCTCTGCCAGTATCACTTCACTGTAAGTTCTCTCATCGAGAGACCAATCGCTAAGCGGAGAGCTAAAACGAACGGTGGGTTCATTGTTTCGTCTACTCACTCCAATCCCAAAATTCTCAAGCCCAACAAGAAGTCTCCGTACGGTCAAATTTTATCTCCGTACGACAGCGATGAAGAAAATGAAGAGGAGGAAGAGGAAGATGATGATGGTGACGTGGCGGAAGATTGGCCATTCGATGTGAGTTTTATCTGTTTGTTTTATTTTAAGCAGAGCAATTTTTCGCGTATAGTTTTCTTCTGATAATGACTGAAAGTAGTCGGATTGCATTTTGGAAGTAAGAATCTTGGCACTTTTTTTTTTTTTTTTTTCTTGAAACTGTAAAGATGGTTGATTGGTTAGCTTACATGTAGCTTGTTTACCCATTTTTGAAGTGGAAATTACTTCCACCTTGGTGTAATGATTATGAAGCCAAGAACTTGAGCTCTTTTATCTGCGAAAATGATATGAAATGTATAATTTTAGGTGTTTCTAGCTAAATTTTGCTTGTTTTATTGGTGTATTGAAAGCTGGATTTAATTTCTGTAAGGGACAGAAGCACTTATGCTCTGGTTGGAAATGCTTTTTACGGCTTTAAATAGTTTATAGATAGCTTTTCCGAATTAGACTTTGAATTGGCATGTGGTTGAAGAAGTGTAAGGCTTGAATTCTTTGTGGTCCACTAACATTTGCTTATATTCGTTCATCTTAATCTCCGGCTGCCAGATTAGTCTCTTTGAGTAAGTTCTTGCTGTTGATATGTTTATGTTTAGTAATGACTAACCTCAATGAGCTAACTGGTTATCTATGTGCATGCTAGTGGGCTCTTAGGAGGATATGACATGTACTATTAATTTTCCTTTTATTTCTCAAATGCTTTTGGTTTCATTCGATAATATTTCTCCAGGATGACTTTGCAGAAACTGATGGGTACAGTGTTAATGGAAAGAAAGTTAAATTACAGAAGGGAAGAAAGGGTAGGTCATAAGCCTTAAAAAGATATACCAAATATTAATTTTTCCATAGGAAGATTGGTAAAGATAATATTTGTATATGCAGGCAATAAAAGACAACCAGAGAAAGGATGGGGTGTGAAGTCACTAAAATCTAGTCACAAGGGAAATGATGAAGAAGAAGTGGATGCTGAAAATGACAAGAACAGTTTTGGTTCCTGGGGAGTAAATGGTGGAGCAAAGGTATTTTGCTTCTCAAATTTACTATGAAGGATAATATTGGTGCCGAGGAGCTTATTACTTTTCTTTGATTGCAGCTGATGACAAGACAATCTAAAGAGGACAGATATGCACGACTATCAGAAGAAATCGATTTGGATAAGAAATCTTATCCGCTTCTTGATTATTTAAGCACATTTGGGCTTAAGGAGTCACACTTTATTCAAATGTATGAGAGGCACATGCCTTCCGTTCAAATCAATGTATGTTCCGCACAGGAAAGGTTGGACTACTTGTTAAGTGTTGGTGTCAAGCACAGGGATGTCAAAAGAATACTTTTGAGGCAACCACAAATCCTGCAATATACTGTGAAGAAAATTTAAAAGCCCATATCTCATTTCTAATGGGTTTGGGTATCCCAAGTTCCAAAATAGGACAGGGT